GGTGGGGGGATGGGGGTGGTGGCAGCCACTGGGGCCAAAGTGGGGAGCTCTTAGGTGACAGGGCAGGGCGGATGTTCTCGCTCCCCCACGGTTTCCTTTCCTCCTCTCGGGGACTGAGGCCACACACAGGGTGCTTGGGGGAGGCTGGTCCCCGGCCTGGAGAGGCCCCCCGCCATGACCCCCTGCGGGGTGGAGGGAACATGTGGGGGGACTGGGGAGGTGTTCAAGAGTTACCGCCAAGCCTCGTTCCGAGAGAGGCCTCCCCCGCTGCCGTGTTTCTCTGGTAGAGACTAGGAGAGTGGGCCCCTGGGGAGGTATCCCTCACCCCCTCTTGGGGAAGAGGGGTGGGGACAGCACTCTCTCCCTGGAGGGTCAGAAGAACAGGGATCAGGGAATAGAGACCATTGGGCAACAGAGCCCCCTCCCACTAATGAGGCTCAAATTCAGAGTGTGGCATTTTGGGGTGGTGTCTGGGCTGGGCGACCTCAAGATAGTTGCTGTCCCCCTCTGTGCTTCAGTCTTTTTTTGTAGGCTGGTCTGTCAAAGGGTCAGGACACTGGGTATCTTATCCTTGCCTGCTGGACATCCTGTCAGGGTTAGATAAGCCTGGGATGTTGGAGGGTTGTCCTGGAGGCAGCACCCCTCACTGTGGCTGGTGACCCTGGTGACTCCTCTTGGAGCTACGGGGCACCTCCCCTCAGAAGTGTTCACACCAGCATCTTCATCTCTTCACCCCCCACTCTCCCTGCCATCTACCCCCATCTTGCCCTTGAAGAAACTGAGGCCCGTGTAGTAGCTCAGAGCTGGATTCCTACTCCTTTGATCCCATAGGGTTAAGCCAAGTAGAAATTGTCCTTTTTGCCCTTCCCAGGTGGGCATTTGGATACTGAGGCCAGGGTTCTCTCTGCAGAGCAGACCAGCACCCTCCCCAGGCCTTCCCCATTAAGGTGGCTTTCAGGCATTCTCCAGTGTTCTAGGATCTCCTTCGCCTCCCTCCAGAAGGGCTCTACGGCTTCTCTCGTGTCTCAGTCTCATCCTCCCGAGGGCTGGGGGCCCACCTCAGACCCTCAGGACCTCACATGCTCTGAAGCACAGTTGCCTAGTAACCCCCCATGTGGTGGGGCCCAAGGGTTCTAGAGAGGGGATAAGGTATGCCCCGAGAATGGAAGGAACTCAGTGCCCCGGGAAAAGGAACCTAGGCTGCCCGGGAGGTTGGGCACACCCCAGGGAAGGTCTGTGCTGAGGGTGGAGCTTGGGGGTCCAGACCTTGGACTCTGCACGTGGGTCATTGTGCCTGGGGGTTGATGTGGGAGTGTCTTTGCTCCCAGGTGAGGGCATTATCTGTGCCAGTGGATGTGTGCTTACATGGGTGCGTGCAGGTGTATGTGTGGGTGAGCGTGTTTATGGCCTGTGCAGTATGGAGATATCTGTGTGAGTAGTAGGTTCTTATGTTGCTGAGTTTGGGCTGTAGGAGTCTCAGTATGTTTGGTGTGAACGTTTATTGAAGACCTCAGTATAGTGCATTGGGTGAAAAATGCAAACCACACGCTACTTCATTAGGAGCTCACCAACTGGTGGGATATATGTGATTTTGTGTCTGAGAGCGTGCCTGGATATGTATAGGGTGTGTGTGTGTGTGTGTGTGTGTGTGTGTGTGTGTGTGGTGGGTGGGCAGCTGGAGCATGAGAACTTTAAAAATGGGAGCTGGGTCTGGTCTTAGCTTGTCCACTGCTCAGATGGACATGTGGCTGCAGGGGTGGGGCCGGGTTCCCACGGGATGCCCAGGGTGAGTGCCAGGAACGCCCTGGGGAACCAGTCCTGCCACAGGAGCCCCTGGCCTGCTCTCCCTGCCAGCCCCAGCCCGCACAGAGCCCCGTGGGCAGACCCAGCTGGTACCAGCCGTCACTCTGATGAGGCGCCTGGAGCGGAGGTCCGCTCCCGCTCTGCTCCCCGGCTGAACAACAAGCCTCAGCGGGCAGGAGGGAAAGGGCTGTGAGTCACTGTCAACCTGTGATGAGGGTGTGACCGGTGTGGCTTCAGGCAGGGTCCAGGTGGGGAGCGGAGGGCCAGCCTGCCACCCATCCTTGGCGTGAAGTAGACATTCAGATGCTCTAGCCCTGGGATGGGGGCGGTGGCGAGCTGGTTGGCAGGGTGCCCTGGTCAGTGGCCTTGTCCTTTCCTCCCGGGGCTGGCCAGGTGACGGGTGAGGCTGGGCGGGGCCTGTCTGCAGGGGGTGAGGGGTGGGTCTGAGAGTGCCTGGGACTGAGCTGCCAGTGGTTAATCATTTCCTTGCCTAGGCCTTGAGCAGGTCTCCCACCTCCCAGCACGGCTCTCCGTCCTCCCCTGACACCTCTCCCTAGCCCATCAGGGCTGGAAGGGACTTCCGTGACTGCCCGTGGTGACCCCTCCTTGTGCAGAAGGGCAGCCCGAGACCTATCTTCCCTAGGGGTTGAAGACTGGCCCAAGGTCATAAGGCCAGTCAGAGCTGGGCCTCCCAGCTGTCTGTTCTTTCCTTCAAAGAGTTGCAAATCCTGCTCCTTGAGGCCCAGGGTTCTACAGATGTTTCTGGGGCAGACTTCCCACCCTTCCCCTATTTAACCAGAGCAGCTGAGCCTTGATCTGTTTTTTGAGCTTGTTTTGAGGTCTCCCGCAGGGAGGTTCTTCCTTAGATCTAACTTCTATCTGTTAAGCAGCTGAAAGCAGTGGTGTGAGTGACGTATTGGGGAGGATGGTGGCCGCACATGGAGGCGAAGAGAGGGATGTTGTCCCCAAGTGAAGGGCAGGAGGTAGAGGAAAGAATTGTCGGGAAGGAGGGAGTGGTGGGGCGGCTGCCTAAGGCTGTGGCATCAGCTGGGGAGAGTGGCTGGGACTCCCAGATGGTGGGACCCAGGTTCCGTCCTGGGCCTGGCTCTGGTCAGTGCGTTGGCCATGGGGCTTCCCCAAAACCTCTGCTCTCCCAGGCTGCACCATGAGCTCTGGCCTGCCCTGGGGTGGAGAATCCCACATGGTCAGAGGCCCTCTCAGGCTCCCCAGCTTCTTCCTCTGAACATACACTGACAGGTTGTCAAGAAGGTGGGGACTCACTCTGGCTTAGGGGCAGCCCTCCTCGGACCGCCTCTTCTAGCATCTGGTATTGTGGTTAAGGGTACAGGCTTTTGAGAAGCTGACCTGGCATGGAATCTTATTTTTTTCCTTTTGATTAATTGTGCTATCTTGGGAAAGTTACTAGCCCCAGTGACCTTCCATTTCCTCATCTGTGAAATGGGAATAACACCACCTTACTTCACGGGGTTGTTGTGAGGTTTAATGTCCACGTTCTTTGTAAAATACTAAGAACGGTGCCTGGCATTATAGTAAGCACTTAGGTGTTAGTACTCTCACTTCTTTTTTTTTTTTTAAAGATTTTTTATTTATTTGACAGAGAGAGACACAGCGAGAGAGGGAACACAAGCAGGGGGAGTGGGAGAGGGAGAAGCAGGCTTCCCGCCGAGCAGGGAGCCCGATGTGGGGCTCTATCCCAGGACCCTGGGATCATGACCTGAGCCGAAGGCAGATGCTTAACGACTGAGCCACCCGGGCGCCCCAGTACTCTCACTTCTTGATTCCTTTATTTATTGACTTATTATTATTTACCGTATTCAACTAATATTTGTGTGCTACTGAATGTTAAGCATCATTCTAACGCCCTTACTTATCATATATTTATTATGGGGATTTCAACAGTTGCACCTGCTGAGGTTCCCCTTGAAAACTGACCCTTGCCCCTCCTTCCCCCCTTCCACCCCCAATTCTGTCCATTTCCTCATCTTATAAGCAAGAGGTTTTTTTTTAAAGATTTTATTTATTTGACAGAGAGAGACACAGCGAGAGAGGGAACATGAGCAGGGGGAGTGGGAGAGAGAGAAGCAGGCTTCCCGCGGAGCAAGGAGCCCGACGCGGGGCTCGATTCCAGGACGCTGGGATCATGCCCTGAGCCGAAGGCAGATGTTAACGACTGAGCCACCCAGGCGCCCCTATAAGCAAGAGTTAATGGCAATAACATTTCTTCCCCAGGGTGAGGTGGTGGTAAAGGTGGTGAAGGTGAGGTGATTCATGTTCTGCCAGGGGTTGAAGGCAGCCCCATGATTCCTGAGCAGCAGGGGAGTGACCAAGTCATCTTGGGGGATTGTGGGGTCATGGCATAAAGCTGGTGGACATTCAAGGACACCTGGGCCGCACCTCCTGCAGTTCCAGCCCTGAAGACCCCTTAGGGCTAGGGCTGGCCTGGGGAACAAGGGGGGTGAGTCATTTCCGAAGAGACAAGGCTCTGGCAGATCACACTCCATATATGGCCCCACTGGAGGATAAACAAATAAGCTGCTTCCCCCAGGGCTGAGAGGAGTGTGTGTGGGAGCGGGGTGCTCAAGACCGAGAAATCCTGGAGGCTCCAGCCCAGCCCAGCTGGGTGTGGTCAGGGGAGAGGAACTTCTGGCTTTGTGGGGGCCCTTTCCCCAGTGTATGGATCCCTCAACTTTGGAGGGCAAGAACTGGTCCCAAATTGGACATAGGGGGAGGGAGTAAGTCCAGAGAAGGTGAGAGATGAAAACATGGCCTCAGATGAAAGCCAGCTGAAGCTGGCATTTCCAAGTCTGGTGGAGAAGAGCTCCAGTCAGAGTCCCATGGCCTTGACCACAGAATTTAAACATGATTCCCATAGGCCTTCACATGACCCCTGTGAGCTCTGTGTATTTGAAGATTAGTCAATCATTCATTCACTCATTCACACACATGAACTGATGATCTCTCATGAGCCAACTTTAGCTGAGGAGTGGTCAGGCATCAGAGCCTGGCTCGTAACAGATGGGCAGATTGTCTTTGGGGAAGCTCAGAATTTGTCCCCCCCTTCATGCTCGTCCTTGTCAAGACAGACGTTTCGCAGTTCCCCAGGGAGGAGGAGAGCCCTCGCATCTGAAAGTTGACAGTCACACTGGTTCATTCCACATTCGTTGGTACTTATGTGCCAGGCCCCATAGTGGGTGCTAGAGATGAGAGACACCCTCTCCTGTGGGCTCTCCTCTCCCTGCAGGACAACATCTTCACACTTTGTTTTTAGACTTCTCAGACCCTCTCCACTCTCCTTCATTTCCCCATTTTTAAAAAGAAAACAAAACTTGATGTGTGTCTCTTGTATATGAATTCTACCTCAATTACAAAACCATTCCTTGAGTCCATTCTGCTCTAGCTACTGTCCCAGTTGATCTGCTTTTCTTCTGAGGAAAACTTCTCCAAAGAGTTGCTGGTCCTCGCCAGTTCCTCGTTCTTGACTCCCATTCTCCCCTTGCGAGTCCGGCTTGGCTCTGGGACCAGCACCTCTGCTCACTACTCTGTGCTGGTCTCCCCCCCACACCAATTGGCCTTGGACAGGACCTCGTTCCTGCCTCCAGGTTCACACTCCGCCCTGATTTTCCTCTGATCTCCCTGGCTCAGGGCCTTGGTCTCCTTTGCACTGGTGTCTTCTCCTCACCCTCAATAGCCAGAAACGGAACTTTTCCTCCCCCTGCCCCCCACTGCCGGCCACCATCTCCCCAAACTCCCCTCCCCCCATCTTTCCCATCTTACTAACAGCACCAGGAATTGCTCAGGCCAAAAATCTAGGAGTCTTCCTTCTTTCTTCTCTTTGTCTCTGCCTTCATCCCCATCCAGCCCATCTCCCCTTGGCTCTATCTACAAGATGTGTTCCCAGTCCATCCCTCTTTCCTTCTCTCTGTCACCACCACAGTTCAGGCCAGCATGGTTCTCACCTGGGCCATGGCAGGAGCCTCCTGACGGGGGCCCCTATCTCCCCCACCCCCGCCACCCTCAATTCTTCTTCCTTCAGTGGCCAGAGAGATTAAATAATAATAGTAACAAATTTTATCATGTCACTCCTCTATGTGAAACTATCCAGTGGCTCTCCAGCATACTTGAATAAAACCCACATTCTTTCCCTGGTCCATGAGGCCCTTTTCTCTGGCCTCTCCTCCCTGTCCTAGCTCCCTGTGGGCCACGCTGTGGCTCCAGCCTCCCCTTCCCCTAATGCCCAGCCGTCACACCCGGGGCTTTACACTTGCAGGGTCCTCCTCCTGGGATGCCCTGCCACCAGATCCGGGCTCCTCCTCAGAGCTCTCGGAGAGGCCTCCCGTCCCGGTCACCTTCTCTCACATTACCCTTTACCTGGTTCTGTTGTCCTCGGGTCACTTCCTGACATTGTTTTGTTCGTGCACTCATTTCCTGGCTCGCTGACCACACCCCCACACCCCCTGCACTATGCACTCCTCCTCTGCTGCATCCCAATGCCTGGGACTGTGTCTGGCACGGAGTTGGTACTCAAAAAATATTTGTTTGGTGGATGTTGGATCAACATGATGTTGGGCTTAGAAAAACAGATTGGAGCCATTGTGTGGCTCATCCTCATTTTAGGAAGGAAAACTGGCGAAGAAGACAGACAGGGATGTACCCAAGGGCAGGGGGAGTAGACTGCCTTATGAGAGGCTGCCTGGAGAATCTTTCCTTGGAGGCTCCATAGATGCATTTCATATGTAATTCTGTTTGTAAAACCCATGGGTTTGCATGATTATTTTTTCCCAGAAACATGTCTGTTCCTTAAATTGAGGCTTGGTTGCATGGCGATACCCTGCAGGAGGGGAAGAGGCCCAGGAGGAATAGGGCTGGGCCACAGGACAGGCTGGGAGAGCAGGTTTGACACCTGACGGTGGCAGAGGGATGGCCTTACAGTAACTCTGGGAGGGAAGAAGAGACTTTTTCCAGACTCTTCCTATCTGTAGGGCCCTAGGTAGTACTGGGAGAGTCATAGGAAGGCTCCAGAGAGGGCCCACTCTGCTGACTTACAGTGTGCTATTTCCAGCCCAAACTTTCTCCCAGGGCGCTGGGTGAAGCACATCCTCCTGTCCCAACAAACGTCCTCCCTCTGACCTCAGGCTAGTGCAAGCCCTCCCTTCTGCCTGGCCTACCGGTTTCTCCCCAGCCCCCTGTCACCTCTTTTGAAATCCTGTTCACCCACGAAGACCCAGCCAGGGTCAGTCTCATCCTTGAGCCTTTCTTGATAATCTTGCCTTACAGTAATCATCCTCTCTCCTGCAGAGCAATTTCTGTGCTTTGGCTGGGGGAGTTATTGGTGGACATGCTTCTCTTTCTCACTAGATAGAGATATCTTTTTTTAAATTTTTTATTGTTATGTTAATCACCATACATTACATCATTAGTTTTTGATGTAGTGTTCCATGATTCATTGTTTGTGTATAACACCCAGTGCTCCATGCAGAACGTGCCCTCTTTAATACCCATCACCGGGCTAACCCATCCTCCCAACCCCCTCCCCTCTAGAACCCTCAGTTTGTTTCTCAGAGTCCATCGTCTCTCATGGTTCGTCTCCCCCTCCGATTACCCCCGCTTCATTCTTCCCCTCCTGCTATCTTCTTTTTTTTTTTTCCTTAACATATATTGCATTATTTGTTTCAGAGGTACAGATCTGAGATTCAACAGTCTTGCACAATTCATAGCGCTTACCAGAGCACATACCCTCCCCAGTGTCTATCACACAGCCACCCCATCCCTCCCACCCCCCACCACTCCAGCAACCCTCAGTTTGTTTCCTGAGATTAAGAATTCCTCATATCAGTGAGGTCATATGATACATGTCTTTCT